GAGAGTTTAAAATTGTATTACCTTTGAATAATACTGAGTGTGAGCTTTTATACTTGGACAAAATGAATGAGGCCTGCTGGATGATAGTGCACGTTACCTCCTCCAAACGAGTGCCCTCTCTTGTCATGTACATCATTCAATCATAGTCTTAAATGCTAATACCACTTTTGTATCCATAACGCCTAACTTGAACTTTAAACTCGACCAAATAGGATGACGACGGTGGCAATTAGTTGTCTTGTCAATCACATGGTAGGAGATCTGTTCAAGATCTTGTCATCGCCTCGTCTTGGACTGGCTTTTGTAATGGGGTCTGCATATAACGGGGTCAGTCCAGATCTTCTATGTAGGGAAAAGCAGGTCGTTCACACTTGAAGTGGTTCGCAGTTAGATCGTCAGTGTATACCCCCAAACCGTTCACCAGGTAGGTTAATTGAGCCCATGTGTGGGTCTTAGTTTTTCAAGGCATAACAATGACAATATATTTTGACAGAAATTTTTATTCTCTAGTCTTTTTAGAACTAGGTTCTTAATGGTTACCAATTTATCAAAAACTTTGGAGGTTTCAAAAGTCATTAAATGCCCTTTTTTCCTCTTCCGATTAATGAATCAATTGGATTCACTTGGCACATGAGATTCTGGTGATCAAACTTAGCCTTTTGATGTATTAAGGTTTAACTCGAGTTAAAAGAAAAGGAAAAACCGGAGAGTTAATGAATTATAGCTCGATTTCTGAAGGATGGCTGAACTTTATTTTGTCTAATATGATCATTAAAAGTATATACTTATATTTTAGTTCAGTAACTTTTTTTATTTCTATTTTTTTGAAATAACCGATTCATATATAATCAGAATAGCAAGTTTCGGAAACAATGAGGAGATTCCTCTAGCACAATTCTCGTCTCAGAGAGTTTAAATGCTACCATTGCTAATGAATGTGCAACCACAAAAACCTTCCTAGGTGCATAACCAACAGACCAAGACTACAAAAGACTCAGTACTGGGCTTTTCTATTGACGGTTCTAACTGGCAAAGAATTCACAAATCTGAAATCTACCACATGTTAAGATTGTTACTGGGTCATCAAATTTGTTTTCAAACACAATGGAGTTACATCTCTTCCAAATCAAATATACCGTAGCTGTAAAGACCTCCATTTCCTCCGCAGACAACTTATTGAACAAATGACAAACTAGTTCTTTGAAATGTGACGGCAAGAGAGACATTTTCTGTATCTTTCGTGAACTAGCACCCTAAACATCATGGGCAGCAATATAATGCCACATTGCATGGACCACAAACTCATCTTCCTGAAAACAAATTGGGCATAGAGGGGTCTCCCTTATATGCCTTCTGTTCAAGTTCAGATTAGTAGGTAAGGAGTCGTGGGTAGTACGCGCCACAATAGCATTTTACCTGCATTAGGGGCCAAAAGACTCCAAATTTTCCTCCAGACTCCGTTATGAGGATTGGTATATGAACATTGACCCAATAAGCCGTGTTTCAGTTGACTGATAAAATGGTATGCATTTTTTACTGTGAATTTCCCATCCTTCATTCCCCGCCAAATAAGTTTATCCGGGCTACCACATGGACTAATGGGAATCTTGCTGATGATATTAGCTTCTGATTCAGTGAAGATTTGAGAAATTAAGTGCATGTTCCATGATTTTGATTCTACATGTGTGAGATCACTCACTCTACTATTAAGAAGCCTGTCATGTTGGGAAGATTGGATTTGAAAAGTGGAATCATGGTGTATCCATTTGTCCTTACCGATAACCACTGATTCGCCGTTTCCTATTTGCCAAAATAATCTCCTTCGTAACACGTCTTTTATATTAGAGAAACTCCTCCAAATGTAGGATGCATTACTGCCAATCTTGTTGCTTAAAAAAATCTGTTCGACTGAAGTATTTCGCTTTGAGCACCTTCATAGCCAGTAAACCAGGACTTTGGATTAGCCTCCAGCCCTGCTTAGCCAATAATGCTGCATTAAAATGTTCAAAGTCTCTGAAGCCGAGCCATCCAGCCATTTTGGAAGTCTCTAAAAAGTTTCAAGGGAGACATTGCATCTTTGTTTTATCTCCTCTACTTCCCCACCAAAAATTCTTAACTTGCCGATTAATCGCTTGGAGGATGGATCGGGGAAGTTTGAAGATGCTCATACAATATGTTGGAATAGCTTGGATAATAGCCTTGAGAAAGACTTCTTTACCAGCTTATGAAATAAATCTCACAGTCGAAGAATTCATTCCGCTACGTATCGAGTCAAGTACCTGCTTAAACCCTGTCAATTTATTTCTTCCAACATGGCCGGCAATCCCAGATACTTATCAAGAGATATTGCTTCTCTAACTCTAGCTACATGGGGTACGACTAACTTAATTTCCTGCCTTGTGTTACTGCTGAAATAAATGGATGTCTTCTCCATATTAAGTCGTCGCCCCGACGCCTGCTCGAAAGAGTTCAATAGGCAGGACAGCCTCCACCATTCCAAAACATTTGCCTTGCAGAATATCAAACTATCACCTGCGAAGAATAAGTGATTGACTAACAGGTTACCTCGTGCATATAAAGGAAGATCCCCTAACTCCAGCACAAAATCATGGAACCTGATTTTAGGAAGAAGTCTTGCCTTTACAGTTTTGCAAATCACGGCCAAATCTATTGTATTATCCAAGGCTTTGATTTTGCTTTTCTTACTAAAATAGAATCTTTTCTTCTGTATATATTTCCATGTAATACTCTATGACAGTGTGGGAAAAACATTCTATAATTGAGCAGCAAATCAATATTGAGAATTCTCAAATTCCATCATGGTATCAGGAGAGTCAGCCTCTAGCGAGACCTTGATCCCCACCTCTGAACACATCCAGAATCCCATTTCCACTCCACCACTTTCCGCGACCAACCCCTTCATTGCACTCAACGTGACTGCTCAACTAAATGAAAAACTGACACCCTCATCATTCCCTCAATGGCGTGCCCAGTTTGATGCCCTTCTCATCGGATATGATCTTCTTGATTATGTCACTAGTGATAAACCATGCCCTTCCCCAAATGATTCCTCCATCCACACTCCACAAAAAAACCCACTGGATAAGGCAAGACAAACTTATCCTAAGTGCTATTCTGGCTTCCACGACACCCACAATTACCCCATTCATCTCTGCTACAAAAACATCTAAAGAAGCTTGGCATAAATTGCACACTCTTTATGCGAGCAAATCCCGTTCCCGGGCAATGCAGCTCAAGGAGGAGCTCACAATGATAAAAAAGGGAAATCAACCTGTTCAGGAATACTTGCATACTGTCAAAGCTCTTGCCGACGAAATTTCCCTCATTGATAATCCTATTTCAGAGGACGATCTGACTCTGTACATCCTCAACGGACTGGGTAGTGACTTTCGTGAAATCGTTGCACCGATCCGTGAAAGAGAGAAGCCGATATATGTCCCTAACATTTGTAAAAATCTTATTTCAGGGTTGTTTCTTTCTCGACACAAGTACATCCTAGACCTTCTTTCCGAGACAAATATGAAGGGTGCCAAAGAAGTCTCCATTCCTCTGTCCACTAGCACCACACTGAAGTTAGTTGATGGCACAACTTCCTTTGACAGTACTGAGTTCCGAAGTGTAATTGGCGGACTCCAATATCTGTCTCTCACTCGTCCAGACATCAGTTTTTCGGTAAATAAATTGTCCCAGTTTATGCACAAACCTACAATTACACATTGGGCAGTAGTAAAGCGACTACTCCGTTACTTGAAACAGACGCTCTTTCATGGGATCCACATAAAAAAACTATCAGCCTTCACTTTTACAACATACACCGATGCTGATTGGGCGGGTAATTTTGATGATCGTACTTCTACATCAGCATATATCAGCTTTCATGGCTCTAATCCCATCTCTTGGAGTTCAAAGAAACAAAGAGCAGTGGCTCGGTCATCGACCGAGGCTGAATACAGATCTCTTGCGAATGTCGCCTCTAAAACTGTGTGGTTATTATCACTGTTTAAAGAACTTGGGCTACCAATGAAAGCTTTACCGACACTTTTGTGTGATAACTTAGGAGCCACTCACCTAAGTTTTAATCCTGTGCAGCACTCTCGGATGAAACATATTCAAATTGATTTACATTTTGTTCGTGATATGGTTCAACGTGGCATTCTCAAGGTTCATCATGTAAACACTCAAGATCAACTTGCGAATTTATTAACTAAACCCTTATCGAGACAGCGCACGGATTCTCTCAAGACCAAGATTGGCTTAGCCGATGGCAGCTCAATCTTGCGGGGGCGTATAAAGGAAGATCCCCTAACTCCAGCACAAAATCATGGAACCTGATTTTAGGAAGAAGTCTTGCCTTAACAGTCTTGCAAATCACGGCAAATCTCTTGTATTATTCAAGGCTTTGATTTTGCTTTTCTTCCTAAAATAGAATCTTTTCTTCTGTATATATTTCCATGTAATACTCTGTGACAATGTGGGAAAAACATTCTGTAATTGAGCAGCAAATCAATATTGAGAATTCTCAAATTCCATCAGTGCAAACGGAAAGCCTGAGATGATCCCTTTCGCCTCTGCTTCATCCAGTACGTTGCCAAGTACTTCTGAGCAGATAATGAAGAGGTAAGGGGACAAAGGATCCCCTTGCCTTAGACCTCTAGAGGGCCGGAATTGAAGCTGCGGCTTTCCATTGATGAGCAGAGAATATTTCACAGTCTTCACACAGTGCATAATAAGCTCAATCCACCTTTCACCAAAGCCTGGCTTCCTTAAGACGGCTTCTAGGAAGTTCCACTCGATACAATCGTATGCCTTGCTCATGTCCAGTTTAAGTGCCATGTAGCCTTCTTTTTTCCCCTTTAACACGATACTTCATGGAGTTCATTGCTTCAAATGCCACAATAATGTTATCAGAGATCAACCTCCCTCGAACAAATGCGCTCTGTGCAGGTGAAATAATATCAGCCAAAAAAGGTTTTAGTCTGTTAGCCAACACTTTCGATGGTATATTGTTGTTTCCTTTGGGATGTGCATTTATGGAAGTAGGGTGTATTCTTGTCCCCACTCTTAAGCCACATTTGTTTAGATCGTTGCCTCCATTTAATTTCTTCTTCTGCTAACAGTGCATCAACTTGATTTTTAATGTCTTTAATCCTCCCATTCAAGTCCCCTTGGTTAACATTCTGCAGTGACCGAAGTTTCTGCATGTTTACTTGAAGCACCTTCCTAGCGTCTCTTGCATTACTCCTGGCCCAAAATTGAAGTTTCTCCCTACATCTCATTAATCCCTCTTTGAACCATCCAAACGAACTGTTTTGTCCCGCATGGCGAGACCAGAAGCTTGCAATGATGTCTTTGCACTCTTGATTTTCAGACCAAACCGCTTCATACCGGAACAACATGGGAGCATTGGGTTTCGGCTGAATATGACCTTTATGACATTTGATAAATAATGGGTTACGATCCGAGTTAACTACTGGAAGCACCTGCACCTCACAATTGCAGAACAAAGAAGGAAAGCCTACATTAGCAAGGGCTCTGTCCAGCCTCTCCTTGATAAAATGCTTCCCCTCCCTTTTATTACACATAAAATTTTCCACTAGAGAAAATTGTCTAACAGCGCCCCCTGACTTCTCATCTGGGTTGAGGATTTCATTAAAATCCCCCATTTGAGTATCGCAATTAACTTGGGTCCACGCATTATTGAAATCTTTCGAACAGTTTAAAGATTCATCTTATGCATTCACATAGCCAAAGGCTAGTAGTCCAATTTATTTATAATACCATAATAACAAGATTGAAAGATGATGTTGTGCACATTATGCGTACTTGAGATAAACAAGTTGAGTCACTAATGAAAGTTTCTAAGTCAATTTCGGTGTGCAAAACAACACTAATGGCCTGCTTGCCAATTTTTTTCATTGATTTTGACTGTCTTTAGATGACACCCAGAGATTTGAAAATCAATGCTAATTAGTTTTTTGACATTGAAAATCACCCAAAATCAATGTAGTGTAATATGGGTTTTATTTCTCAACCCACAAATCAATGATTTTAGGCAGTTTTTCAAAATTTCTTCCCATTTTATCATCTCTAAAACAATTATTTTCAAATCTACCCTAAAAAGAACGAAGCTTGGACAAAAAGAAAAAGAGATTTGTTTTAAATAACCATCCTCTCAAAATGTTTCAAAACGCTCTACTTATTTCGAAACCTACTCTTCATATCGTTTCTCTCTCCCCTCTTGTTATTTTTTCTTGATGATCTCGTTTCTTAATAGCTTCTATTATACTTGTAATTTTTTTCTTGTAAAAGTATTTTACTCCATAGTATATATACCTATTTTTTTATATATATATGTTAATATATATAATTTTATTTTTTTTTAAAAAATTTCAGAACAATTGGATAAAAAACTCTAAAGCATGAGTTAGAATATTTTAAAAATCGTTAGTAAAGATTACTCAAAATCATACCCCTCATAAATATTCAGTACAGGTACTTAAAAATCCCCGTAACCGATATTGTAAAACTCCCAAGTAGGCGCTATATATTTTTATTTAAAAATGAAGGAAAGCATAAGCCTCATTTGTATAATAAAAAGAAGTGAGTTGAATGTAAAATAGCTGCATCCTAGGTAGAGTGTTATGCTTCTATTTGGCGGAGATTAAAATCAGATTTTAGCATATTTGGATAAAAGTTGATGAAATATATGGTTGAAATATTGTAGATTCCATGGAATATGTAGTTAAAATTGTTGGAAAAAATTGAGTTTGTAGGTGACTTTGACACGAATTTTGAGCGGGATCCGTTTGGCTATTTTGGAAGATGAAAGTTGATTTGTGTTCTCCTCCATGAGTACATCGAAATCATATACTTGTAAAAAATGATGCTCAGTTGAATGAGAAATTGAAGTTCAAAGTATGCCATGTGAAAGAAGTTTGTGTTGGTGGGAAAACTAAAAATAAGTTTGTCCCACATAGGAAGTGGATGAAAATTAAAACCACTTTATAAAGGATTACACTTTAGAATGGTGTAATCATGTGTAGCATAGAGGCTCTCTCCACGTGCGCGCGCAGGGGGGTGCAAATCTTGGACCGAAATAAGCTGCGGACCTTGAACTTGTGTGNCTCTTAGAAGAGCCTACGTTTTGCTACATTTTATTTTATTTTCCTAGTTTTCAGTACGAGAATTCATCTGCATGCAGTTCAAGTTTTGTTTCTGTTTGAGTCTGGTGATGATATTGTTCGGGCTCTAACTCAGTTCGTCGGAGTAAATATGTGGTGCTCAGATTCTACCATTCCACTGTTGTATCCTGGGAAGCAAACACTCACATTACACCTCAAACACGTACGGTGATGAGGCGAATCTGTTTTAAGGAAATTGTGTATAACACAGGCATCGGGTTAAAAGTTTTTTTTGTTCTTTCTTGTTATTCGTTTTGCATATTTGTATTTTGCAATTCTCGTTTAATTATTTACTAAAATTTATAAATCATTTATGAATCTATTAAATCTGTTACAGTCAAATTTGTATGCAAAATGATATGAGGAAATATGGTGTTTAAGCTTACTGCAAATACGGTATCTATTCTGCATATCCGGTACTCAATCTGATATTTTGTTTTGTGAAGCTTTTGAAACAATTATCCAACAAAAATTAATTATTGTCTTTAACTTTAATAAAAATCTAAATTTTATTTTTTATCAAACGGGGGCTAAGGGCCTGTTTGGTATGGATTTTGATTTTCTACAGTAAATTAATTCACATTTTCAACTACACATTCTTCAATAAAATAATATTTTCCATCACATCAATAATTTTTTCTTCTTTTTCAACCACACATTTTCCATCATATCACTACTCAAAAATCAATTCTTCCCCCAAAAATCCCTACCAAACAGGCTCTAAATATCATTTCAACGGACTCTAATTAATAGACACCACTTTTTCTACCTATAACTCAACATTTTTTTTCAGAACCGTACTCAATTAATTTTTCTTTCTTACCTTAGTTCCTTGCCTGGTGTGGTTGGGATCAAATTTTCTACAAAAAGAATATAATAATTTGGTATATATCTTGGCAATTTTTGCTAAAAATGCACATTGTAGGTTGACTTAGTTGATATTATGCTTTGTAAAATCTTGCTCCTTCGATAGTGGTTGTGTTGGGCTCCATTCATTTGAAATACAGGAAATTGGCCTTCTAATTTCTATAAAAGCTTCTCTGGATGTTCTTAACACTTAAATTTGCCGAAGAAAAGGTATTGATAGCAGGCACCATCATTCCCGTTGAACATAACATGATACATGACCCCTATTTGTTGTAGATTAAATTTAGTTTTTAGTAAATTTTGGTAAAAATTAATGAAAAACAAATCCTCAAAAAAGAAATGGAATGAGTTCGCAATTACTACCACAAGAAATCCATCACCCTCGCCTTTCAAAGTTAGAGATAGGGGCGCAACAAAAAAAAAAGGTATTCAAAAATGGCGTTGGAGGCCTCAAACTCATCTGAAGTTGGAGAAAAGACTTTCTCGAGAGGAATGCATCAATAAAATAGCATCCCTTCCATATAGATCGTCGTTGCATAACTTTGTCAATGGATTCCTAGCTTCCTATTGATCTTGATTAGTTCTAACCTCCTTTTTGTTGAGAGATCTTTCTGTGTTCTCAGGGATTGGCTTTTAGGCTTGACCACTTAATTAGGAATTACACGCGCTGGAATGGCATACTGTCTTTTACTGCTTTGATCATTGGATGCAATGGCAATGGGCCCCACAGTTTTGAGGTTATCAATAGATCAACAATTGAGATTTGCTTCCACTTCAAAGATTCCTTGAATCTGTGTACTCCCACGATTCCATTCCCTGTGTCTAGGCTTTTGGCTAAAAAGAATAATAGCATTACCTCAGTATACAACCATTCTATATTCATTGCCTCCTCGTATTACGTATTATAAAAGGTAGTCAAATCTCCTTACTTGAGTTCTTTGCATTGGGCTCACTCTTCTAGTTCTTCGAGATTATCTTTTGAAGAAGCATTTTGAAGCCAAAGGTGCCAACATGTGAAGGTAAACAATGTGTTCCATGGGATTTGATTGGTGTGTGCTGCCTAATTGAGACAGTTGCCATTTCTCGTTACAGGTCAAAACCTTATCGCATGGCAAAAGGTTATCCAAGGTCAAATTCGATGGGAAAGAGCCAGATGACTAAGACTGTTAAAAGACTCTGAAAGAATTTTTTCAAGAAACGTAAGAACTGCTTTGAAATTGCTTGAAATCCCGACAAGGGAACTTCTTCCAAAGTCCTTTGGAACTTTGAAAAATTTCAGGCATCTCTGTAAGCTTAGACTACAAGCTTATCTCAAAAATCCTAGGAACATTATGCAAACCAAAATGATCTCTAATAATACATGCTCATCCAAGAAAGCAGTTGCCTTCAGCTTGACGTGATTCAGGCCTATGACAGATTAGAATGGCCCTTCCTCTTTTGCCTACCTTTAGCCGACCACTAAGGAGCCTATCAAGTGAGGTGTCAATGGGCCGAGCCCCCAAAAAACCCCTTCTCCTTTATCTGAGTTTGGGATCAGCTACTTTAATTTCGAGTAGGTGGAGTTAAAATTGTACACGAACAACTTGTTACGTGTACAATTTTTTTAAAAAAATTATAAAGGTATGAAAATAAAATTTTGGAATGAATGTAATGAAATTAATATCACTTACTTGATTAAATACAATTTTGGCATATTTATGTTGAATTCGATAA